AATGCATGCGAGAAGTGGACAGCGCAGTGATTCTGTCACAACACAACGGCTACAAGATGATGCACAGCAAGCAAATTCAAGAGAAAAACAACTGAAATGGTTGTACAAGAGAAGTACAATTTTGGGCCCATGTGGCGCACCGGACTCAGCGACAAGTTTGGAGTACAAGCTCCTGACCGCCCACAAGGGACATCGATGTACACATAATCTGTAATCTGGTGAACAGTTTTCTCAGATGAGTTTTACATCATCCCGAACCACAAGGTCATGACTGTACATGCAATACATTTTAGAGATACAGTTGAAACACTGTACTCTAAGGAGGCGTGTTAAGAGTATACATGGCCTTGGATACATGTCACGGTTTTACAGCTTGGTCTCACCGTGGCTGTACAATCAAGGCCTTGAGCCTACAATCTGCCCAGACAAAATAGAGCTTACTACAGCCGCGCTGATACACATCACAGGTCTTTCACAAGGCAATCAGGTAGCATTCAGTTTAACATAGAGATATCAATATATATATATATATGTACAATCATAATGTGCGTATGTGTACGCTGTCCATCACGCGTCCTGGATCTCCTTCAAGAAGCTCACGACATCCCCCTTGAGCGCATCATTGGCGTTCAGCAGCTTGACGCAGGCCAAGAGGACAATGGCCTCCCAAAATGCGATTTGCCATCGGCCTTCGTCTTGCCACACTGCCATCGGCCTTCGTCTGCTGGGAGCCTCTCTGGAAGTGCCGGTGCAGGGCCTCAAACTTCGCTCGGGGCATGACGCTCTGCGGCAGCAGGTGCCCAAACTCTCCCATGAGATACCTGCACGCGGAACAGACCAAGCGGGTTGCGCGGGTTGCGCGGGTTGCGCGGGCGGAGCGGGTCTAAGGGAGGGCACGCGCCAAGACGGAGCAAAGTGTCATGAGGAGCTCTCTGGGATGTGAGGTTTTGATAGGCCTGGCTCCAAAACTCCTCAGACTTGCAACATATTCACGACACGATGGGTCGCCTTGCTAGCAGCGTGTCTTTGCAAGCCATGCTTCTCCTTGTGTTTCAAGCATGAGCAAGTTCTGAGCTGACTCTGAAGGTCCAGGCTGATTCTGCCAGGCCATCTTCGAAGCCGGTTACAACCTCAAAAGGCCATCCACACATGGCTGCATGCAATCAGAGCATGGCCTGCACGACTCGATACCACACGTCATCGGCAACCTTAGAGCAAACCGCCCGCCCAGCTCGTCCCTTTTGTCCCTTTCATCCACTCTTCCCATCCGAGCTGATGGCTGCATCCGGTGCGCTCTCCAGCATCTTGAAGACCACCTGGCTCCGAACACCCCCAACGCCCAAGCCAAGTATGATGCCAAGTAGAGGCGGCACATCCACATACCAGCCGAAGTTGGGGGCATTCTTCTCAGCCAGGATGGCTATCTTCAACACCAACTCCTGCGCATGTTGAAGTTCCAAGCCTCAAAACAAGCAGAGTTGTTGTTATTTAAGCTGATACTTGCACATCGCACAATAGAAAAAATAATATTCATTTAAATGATGTTGTTCTGTTATTTTTTCAGATCTTTACCTCTAGAGTCTACAAAGCAGCGGCAACATAAAGATCCACATTGTGCTCAACTATATCCTGTAATGATTTATACTGACGATACATTTGATGCCATAGTGAGTGCGACTCAGCTCTTGCTCGGGTCCTCCTGCAAAAGGGTGTCGCTTGCACCCAAGATTTCCAAAAGCTCATCTACGATCTGCTGCCAATTCTCAGGCCTCTAGGCGCAAGGCATGATATTGACGCTCACAAGTGCACCTGCCTGCAAAGAGCATACAGGAGATTGAGAGCCTCATTCCGTTGTTTTCAGCTAGTCTGATTCACCAAATACCTTGCCGTGACGAAATCATCGAATCTAGTTGCCAGGCCTGTCTTCGTATGGAAATGTCCGTTTCATGCATCTTATCGAGGATCTGATTCTTGTACCTAACCCCGAAACATCATCTCCATCTGAGCCATGAGCAAATACAACCACATGTCTCCGGTGCCTGTCGAGGTATTCATGGGTAGAGAGATTGGTGGCCAGCCGAGCCATGGTCTCCAAACCCAAGTACCTGGCTGTCACTTTGGATTTCGAAGTGCCATGTTGCGGGATGGGCTTCGCATGCCTCACTCTGACGAGATTTCGAGCAAAACCGGCTTCGCCTGATGTTGGGGTCCGTCGAGGATAGAAAGATCCCCAGGAGGCCCGCGGCCGTGCGCATCGTCTCTGGGTCGGCGGTGTCCTGGCCGGACCGGGTCAGAGGAAGAAGAAAAAAAACGCTCGGTTCTCTCCTCCAGGTGGATCATGAGGTTCATCGCCTCGAAGAGGATGGCGTGCTCAGCGTTGGAGCGATTCTGGCGCTCGGCATCCACCTCGGTGAGCTGAGGCTTCCGCACGGCGGCTCGAAGCTGCCGGCCTTGCTCCTCTTCTTGCCTGGGCCTCGGATGTCTCGGATGTCTCGGATGTCTCTGAAATTTCGACCGAGGAACAACTCGACCGACTCTTGGCTCGCCTGGAGGTGGTGCAGGGCTTCGCTGCGACGATGGCTTGGCCAGGATGGTCTGCAGCATCACGTTCAGCCGATGCCTCCATTCCCGAACTCGACAACTCCACAACTCGACAACTCGAGTCGAGTCGAGCGAGCGTAAGGGCGAGGCAGGAGCTCGGCATCGAACATCACCACCGGAAAGAATTGCCTGGCACCGCGAACCCGATGAGCCGAACGAGAAACCATAGTTGGAAAAGGCTGGCAGCACAGGATCCGCAGCAGCTTGGTCTGCAGCCATGGCGCAGGTACGCGGTAATACCTGAATGCCCGCGGGTCAAACTCGGAACATCGGGGAGGGAACTGAGTCAAGACAGAGAAGCCGAGAAACCAGATGCTCGTGTGCAAGGAACGCAGGAAGAAAATGAAAGCACAGGAGGGAAGGATGTATGGCAGGATGGATGGAATGATGAAGGACGGCAGGAAAGTTCCAACTCATCAACCTGCGTAAAAGCGTGTTCCATGGCAGCGATCTGGGAACTGACGTCTCAGGGCTTCATCGCGTGCAAACAGAACTGAAGCGATCCCATTCAAACACGCAAAAAGAACACTGGACGCAACAAGCGTGACGAGTGTGACAAGCAAAGGTGAAAGGGAAACCAGTACGTCAAGGAACACAAGTCTGACCAAATCTGCATGAAAGTCAGCAAGTCTGAAAGTGCTCGGAATTGCAGCCGCTGTGCTCGTAGTATTCCGGGCAATCACCCTGGACTAGGCCCGCCAGACACTCGCAGACTGGTGGCACGACTTCTGCCCAAGCCTGAACCTTAAAAGCCAAGCACGCTGTCCGAGAATACAAAAGAAAAAGGAGGGTCCGAGGGTCCGAGGGTCCAAGGTCGCCGCCGGGAACTTGCCCATCTCCAGGATTCCGAGCATGAAGCCGCTCGCAGACCTGGCCGGACCGGAGTGACACGGCGTGATCAAACACAAACCGGGCGTTAGCAAGCCAATATCCCTCTCGAGGAACATGGTCGCAAGCTTCTTCTGCCAGACCTGAACGAAAGAAATGGTTCCAGAATCGCAATGCAAAGACAACTGGTGCCTCGGGTTGTAGACCGTCGTTCTCCTTGGCTTCAAAGCTGTCTCCCCTCACACACAAAGCCGAAAGGCCAGGTCCTTGCGGTACAATCTCAGGAGACAAATGCAGGCTTTCCGCTTGATGTAGGGCGAAAGCCTGAGCTTTATCCACATTGAGCTAGATTGCATTCCCAAGCCAGTGCCGAGTGGCGCAGACTGCGACAGAAGCATCTTGGAAATGTCCGCAAACAAGTTGTCTGCAAACTCAGGACCTGTCTTTGGCCAGTAAACGAAAAGATTCCACGCAGACACGAGTGTGAGTGGAAGAGCAGGAGCATGGAAAAGTATATGCGCTGTTTCTTTCTCTAACATGTTCTTGAAATGTGAAGTTAGCACAACTCACGGCTCATGGGGAGCAGCCAACAATGTGACACCTCCACAATTGGTCACATTCGGGCATGCCTCCGATGTTGGCCACGGTGTTGAGGGCCAAGGCCGCCATGTGCTGCCAGTCGAGAGCCATGCAGCCCACACGGCAACGCACCCGCCTCGTTGCCCGAAGCCATGTCCGTCTTGACGCTGTTCACAATCATCCGCACCATGTCGTTGTTGTCGGCCAGGAGGAGTGAAGTGGCCAAGTACCTCTCCGCGCGGAGTGGCACATGCGGCACATGCGGCACCAGGGCTTGGGCCCTCACCCAGCAGTTTTCTCACTGAATTTGGAAGCCGAGCACAACTCCACTGCCTCTCACGAACCACAAGGACCACAAGGACCACAAGGATAATAACAAAAAGGAAAGGACCTCATGCGTATGCCAAAAAAGTAGCCTGAAAGTGTCCGAAGTCAATCTCGTAGCCAAGCATGTAGGCATACAGCAGCTTCCAAACGTACCTGCGTTCTCGCCTTTTCGCCGTTTCTTTTAGCCAGAGGCCACTTCTTCTTGTCGTAGCCAGAGAGCGACTTGGGATTGGCAAACTTCAAGCGGATCTTGGAAAGCTCCTGCGGGCTGAGAGCCGAAGAAACCGAAGAAACCGAAGAAACGTGTGGAACTGGTCCGCTCCTTCTCGACCCTCTGCTGCTCTTGCTCCTTGGTCTGGCAATTTCGGATGTCGGCGATGAACACCTGACGTTGCAAGTGGTGCGAGCGGTGCGAGCGGTGCGAGCGGTGCGAACGAGTGCGCCTGTAGGCCTTTCATGTAGCTCGGGGAGTCGAAGCCCAGGGTTTCCTGGGCTCCCCGCATCGCCGCCTCGCCGCCACATGCGTATGCGCCAAAAGAAAAAGGCCGCTGCGTTGCTTTCTTCACTGCTCCAACCCAACCCGTTTGAATCAGATTTGGGCATCGATGTCTCGCCCCTCGCCTTGACATTCTTCATGGCGCAAAGCCGAATCCCGGCTGAACCCGTCAGGTGCACGCCATGTGGGGTACGCAGGTGCTTGCACCCTCGACTATGTGCTCCATGCTTTGTTTGCTTTTCAACATGTTCAACATCTGGCGTCTCAATTCAATCCTAGATTGGCTCTGCCCTGGCGTATTACGTTTTGAAATGTGACCAAAGGTATATATAACCCACCCTGCCATGGAACAAATAAGCTGCGAAAAGGATCGTGCAAGCCAGTGCGCCACTACCCTCGCATCAGCAGGGCATTGCGTCATTTCGTCTCCGGACTCGCTGCGACTCTTGTCTTCACTTGCCCAAGTGCTTCATCATGAAGTCGTACGCCTGGAAGCTCATCCAACTGCACGCTCACAGCCGCTCACATCCCCGCCTGACCCTCCTCACCAAAATCCACCACGGCCACGCAGCTGGCACCCACCACCTGTGGCTCATGTTATGTCTCAATCGCCCTACCCCGCTTGGCTCAAAGGACCAAACCCGCCTTTCTGGGGTGGCCATCCTTGTCGATCTTGCAAAGGCCTTGCGGTCAGAAATTCAGCGGTAGAAACCCAAGGCGGACCAGCCTGCCCACTCACCCAGGCTCTTGTTGTCGGGCACATCGATCAGCGGCACATTCTTCTCCAGACACAGGCCCTGGAGAAGTCGGGGGACGCGCAACAAGTGGGATCCTTCAGATACTACACAGTGACAGTTGCGGCTTGCCTGGATGAGCTTCTTGTAGGTGGCTTCATTGCAGGACTCCGCCAGGAACACAACCTGTGCCCTGCCAGCTTCAACATTCTTGGCAACCTGACAGGTGCAGAGGGACTTACCAGGAGTGCAAGGCAAACCAGAACTCGCAGCAGCGATGCCATGTGGAGTTGTAAATTCTATATCAAAATGCCTTCTGCCGAGCGGCCTCGTGCAATCCCCGGATGACGCCATCCACCATGAGGGACTTCTTCAAAACACCGCGAACTGCTCCATTGACATCCCTCACCTTCCGAGTGCTCTCGTAGCTAGGCTGGAGCCGTGACTCCTGCTGACCCCTGCCTCCTCCTCCTTCTCGACCTCAGGGGCCGCCACTTCCTCCTCGTCGAGTTCCGCCATCTGGGCTCGGGATTCCACAGCTCACCCAACAGGCAACGCACACGCCTTGAATGCTTGCTGCGAGCTTAGAGACGCTTCCCTTGAGCCACATGTAGCGATGAACGCCCTAGGCAATGGCTCTGCTCGGCGGATCGCACGACTGTTCAACCGCCACGGACGACGGCAACCTCCGGTCGGGAAACTTGGCTCAAAATGGTTTGGAGTGACCCAAAGCCCGCTTAGGGCCTCGTTATCGCTTGCCTGGCTTTGAAGGCTGGTCAACAGTCGGTTTGGTTGCTGGTCATTCCCCGTAAAACCTTGAGCACTTGATTCAAGCAACTACACAACCGTCAATGCGGCAGGAAATTATGTCAGCTACACATTTCTACTTCAAAAAGCAAGGTCAAAAAGGACATGGCTTTGATGCTATCAAGACACCGTGTCATGACTTGGCCAATTCGCATTCGGCTGTTAGAATGATTCCTCTTCTCATTGTAGAAGCAGGGCATTGCGTCATTTCGTCTCCGGACTCGCTGCGACTCTTGTCTTCACTTGCCCAAGTGCTTCATCATGAAGTCGTACGCCTGGAAGCTCATCCAACTGCACGCTCACAGCCGCTCACATCCCCGCCTGACCCTCCTCACCAAAATCCACCACGGCCACGCAGCTGGCACCCACCACCTGTGGCTCATGTTATGTCTCAATCGCCCTACCCCGCTTGGCTCAAAGGACCAAACCCGCCTTTCTGGGGTGGCCATCCTTGTCGATCTTGCAAAGGCCTTGCGGTCAGAAATTCAGCGGTAGAAACCCAAGGCGGACCAGCCTGCCCACTCACCCAGGCTCTTGTTGTCGGGCACATCGATCAGCGGCACATTCTTCTCCAGACACAGGCCCTGGAGAAGTCGGGGGACGCGCAACAAGTGGGATCCTTCAGATACTACACAGTGACAGTTGCGGCTTGCCTGGATGAGCTTCTTGTAGGTGGCTTCATTGCAGGACTCCGCCAGGAACACAACCTGTGCCCTGCCAGCTTCAACATTCTTGGCAACCTGACAGGTGCAGAGGGACTTACCAGGAGTGCAAGGCAAACCAGAACTCGCAGCAGCGATGCCATGTGGAGTTGTAAATTCTATATCAAAATGCCTTCTGCCGAGCGGCCTCGTGCAATCCCCGGATGACGCCATCCACCATGAGGGACTTCTTCAAAACACCGCGAACTGCTCCATTGACATCCGTCACCTTCCGAGTGCTCTCGTAGCTAGGCTGGAGCCGTGACTCCTGCTGACCCCTGCCTCCTCCTCCTTCTCGACCTCAGGGGCCGCCACTTCCTCCTCGTCGAGTTCCGCCATCTGGGCTCGGGATTCCACAGCTCACCCAACAGGCAACGCACACGCCTTGAATGCTTGCTGCGAGCTTAGAGACGCTTCCCTTGAGCCACATGTAGCGATGAACGCCCTAGGCAATGGCTCTGCTCGGCGGATCGCACGACTGTTCAACCGCCACGGACGACGGCAACCTCCGGTCGGGAAACTTGGCTCAAAATGGTTTGGAGTGACCCAAAGCCCGCTTAGGGCCTCGTTATCGCTTGCCCTGGCTTTGAAGGCTGGTCAACAGTCGGTTTGGTTGCTGGTCATTCCCCGTAAAACCTTGAGCACTTGATTCAAGTGGATAAACGGGATGTTCATCTCGATCGCAGCACGGGATAGGAAACAGAACTTGGAGCCTTCGCAACGGCCAAGCCGAGTGGTTGCACAATTTCCATGGAAGCAGGTTTGGCTCGCACTGGTAAAGAACTGTTTTGCAACTGTTTTGCAAACACACGGTTAGATATACCGCGCATTTTTTGGCACCGTTGAGACTTCTGGCTCGGCCCCCCAGAACCGGGGAACCGGGGGGAGAACAAAAAAAAAAAAAAAAACATTGCATTTTCTGTCCCCTGAATTTCCCAGGTCGGTGATGGTCTCACGTCCGAACATGTCTCAGCCAGGTTGCTTTGCCATTTCGCTCTACATGACGCGCTTGTTTGGCAACCTTTTCTCGTGTAAACAGCGATCGTGGATCCCAACTGGCAGTTCTCATGTTTCGTTCACGTCAATTTGGTTTTGGGGGATCTGCTCATGCTGGCGCGTCGTTTCATGATTCAAAAGGAAATCAACGCACACGTGAAGCTGGAAAACTGGACTTGGAACCCTATCTCATTTCGTGTTTCCGCTAGCCCCACATGTGGTGCATGCTTTCAATCATTCCAATGATACACAATATCAAATCCAGCCAACAAAAACAAGACATGATGCAAAACTGATTGACATGCTGTCAATATGCCAATTGTCGGGCTGCACAACGCGACCATGTCTTTCCAATGCTGACACACTCTTACCCAACAGAGTTCCACGCTGGTGACTGGCAACACACTCACGCGCTGCCTGTCACCGGTGTGGTCATTGGCTCTGTCGCAGCTGTCCGTTGAAGGGGCCTGTCACTGGCTGTTGAAGTAGTGCCTTACAACCCGAAGCGTTTCGGTGAAAATCAATCCAGCCGCATCAAGGCCACACGGTAACCCTGAACACGCACCCCTGTTACATTGGCGTCCTTGACTCGCGTGAGAATCCTAGCAAAGCAGCGCGGCCCATTTGGCTCACTGGCCAGTATGTGACACCTAGTATTAGTTTTTCTTTGGAGCTCCAAAAAACGCGCTTCTTAAAATGACAACATCTAAAGTGTACGGAGCCAACTCGGCATTTGGACGCGCACCCCATTTTGAACCAACTTAACGGGTGAAGATACAATTTCCTCGCATCATTTTGTTGGCGTAACGCATTTGCAATGACGGAGATCGTTTCGAATCTTGAAACACGTTTCTGACGCAACGTCCAAAAATCACATGGTCGTCTCATGCGCTTCTGCCATCTTGCTCAATGATCAAATGTGACACGCACACCTGATTGTAGAGAATCCATGCAACTCCTCAAAAAGCATGCCGCTGCATCAGCAACAGCTGGCCACCACAGCAATGTGAAATGGCGCAAAGAAAAGCCACCGGAATCCAACATACTCAAGCGGCTGGCAGCCGAGGCTGCCGTCAAGCAAAAGGCTTGTAAAAAGAAGGTAGACAGAGTGCAGAGGACGTGAAAGTACAACTGTCAAACCATGCACTGTAAGCGTGCTGCGCAAAGCACTTCACGGTGGGCACAGGCCGTGGTAACCCACACTGCTGAACACCTGCCTGCCCAAAGTTCCCGTTAGAATCCTGTTCGCTGCTTCAAGCCAAGAGGGAACAGCCATGAAAAGGGGAGCCCGACCGACCCGAAGACCCTAAGACCCTTTTCTGTAGGGGAGGAGCGACCACACGTGTAGCCTGCACAGATGCCCCCAAGGTCAACAACGCCAGAAGGGGTCGTCATGGGGGCTGAGTTTTTTCAGATTCCTGGGGGCTGAGTTTTTCAGATTCATGGGGGCTGAGTTTTTCAGCAAAAAACCAAAAACCAAAAAAAAACAAAACAAAACACAGCCCATCATCTGCATCTGCTAGTTCAGGGCCATGGGTCCAGTTTTTGCTTTTTTTCCCGAAAGCATCGCGAAGGGTTCTTCCGTGCGGAGCCCTTGGACAAGTTACACAGAGCCAAGTTGCACACAGCCAAGTTACATAGAGCCAAGTTACATAGAGCCAAGTTTTATAGCAAGTTACATAGAGCCAAGTTTTATAGCAAGTTACATAGAGCCAAGTTACATAGAGCCAAGTTACATAGAGCCAAGTTACATAGAGCCAAGTTACATAGAGCCAAGTTACATAGAGCCAAGTTACATAGAGCCAAGTTACATAGAGCCAAGTTACATAGAGCCAAGTTACATAGAGCCAAGTTACATAGAGCCAAGTTACATAGAGCCAAGCTACATAGAGCCAAGTTACATAGAGCCAAGTTACATAGAGCCAAGTTACATGGAGCCAAGTTACATAGAGCCAAGTTACATAGAGCCAAGTTACATAGAGCCAAGTTACATAGAGCCAAGTTGCATAGAGCCAGGTTGCGTAGAGCCAAGTTACATAGAGCCAAGCTACGAGCCAGGGGCGGGAGTCGGATCGTCGCTCGGGATTGAGACCCTCTGCGGAGATTCGCGTGGTCGAGGTTCAAACACTGAGGACTTTTTTACGATTTCTGCGGTGCGCGCACGACCCTCTGTGGAGACTCGCGTGGTCAAGGTTCAAAAACGATTTTTAGCATGCGCGCGCGACCCTCTGCGGAGATTCGCGTGGTCGAGGTTCAAAAACTGGGGACTTTTTACGATTTCTGCGGCGCGCGCGCGACCCTCATTCGCGCGGTCGAGTTCAAAAACTGGAGCTTTTTACGATTTCTGCTGGCCGCGCGCGACCCTCTGCGGAGATTCGCGCAGTCGAGGTTCAAAAACTGGGGACTTTTTACGATTTCTGCGGCGCGCGCGCGCCCTCTGCGGAGATTCGCGTGGTCGAGGTTCAAAAACTCGAAGCGCTCTGGCTGTGGCGCCGTGCAATATTCTTGCTCGCAAAACGGCCTTTGGAAGTGGTTTCTTGAAAATCGCAGCTTTTAAGTACAAACTGGTACGCGGAGCGTGCTCCTGCAGCTCCGGCTGGAAAATCGTAACTTTTAAGTACAGACGTAGTGTGCGGAGCGTGCTCCCCAGCTCAGGCTGGAAACCACAACTTTTAAGCGCAACGAGTATGCGGATCACACCCTGCAGCTCCGGCTGAAAATCGCAACTTTTAAGCACAAACGAGTACGCGGAGCGTGCTCCTGCAGCTCCGGTTGGAAAACCGCAATTTTTAAGTACAACGTAGTACGCGGGGCACATTCCCGAAGCTCCGGTGGACAATCGCAACTTTTAAGTGCAAAAAAAGTACGCGAAGTGCATTCCCACAGCCCGGCAGCACTTGCGCAGAGCAACTTTGCGCAGAGTCACTTGCACAGAGCAACTTGCGCTCTGCGAATTGCACAAAGAACTTGCGCAGAGCAACTTGCACAGACCAACTTGCACAGAGCACATGGCAAAGCGCTCGCACGGAGAAACTGACGCAGAGCACTTGCGCAGAGCAACTTGCTCAGAGCACTTGCGCAGAGCAACCTGCACAAGCACTTGCGTGCAGCAGCGTGCAGAGAGCAACTTGCCCGAAATCAGCCTGGAACAATGCAGCTTGCGACCACTTTCGTGAGAAATCATGCAGCGCAACTTGAGCAAAGCACATTGCGCTGGCAGACTCGCGCAGAGCACGCATTTTTGAGCCAAGTTGCGCAGAGCCACTCGCGTAAAGTAGCTTGCGCGCGCGCAGAGCCATCTTGCGCAGACTAAGTTGCACGAGCCTCTTTGCAGAAACATACGCTTTCATAACATGGCGATTTTTGTGTCTAACTCGGGCAGGAGCCGGTTGCTGTTGGCTTGTTTTCCAAAAGCATCGCAAAGGGTTCTTCCGTGCGGAGCCCTTGGACAAGTTACACAGAGCCAAGTTACAGAGCAAAGTTTACTTCGAGCCAAGTTAGAGCCAAGTGGCACGAGCGGCACAGAGCCAAGGTTAGGTAGAGCTCGCGTAGAGCTTTGGCGTTTGCAGCTACGTAAGTTAGTTTGGGTTTCTAAGGCGCCGGGGCGGGAGTCCACAAGGCCAGAAGCCACCGTGGAATACCCCCTCTAAAGAGAGAGGTGCAATGTTCTATGTTCGCGCTTTTGCGCGGCGCAGTCTGCAGCTGTTGCGCTGCGCATTATGATCAACGCCTCGTTGCTTTAAGACAATTCAATTTTGCCTTAAGAATAGCAAAGCCACCCTGCCGCGCAGGCAAGCTTGTCACCGCTTTGTCACCGCTCTCTTGGGCCGAAAAGTGCGCAAAAGCGGGCAAGTTCCAAGTTCGTTCTTCGTCAATAATAAAACGGGCTGATTCATTAATGGGCAAGGTAATTTATTAATGGGCAAGGTTGCTTCATTAATGCCCGGCCGCTGGTGGGTGCTGCAGAGACAGCTGAGACAAGGTAGCGCTTGAGCCCCCAGAGGTGAGTAGTAAGGAACATCAGCCTATAGGGACACTATTTGTGATTTTTGGTCCCAAAACCCTGCAAAACTGCATAATTTCACCCAAAAAACGCTTGTCACCAGCGATGTCACCGCTTCGTCGCCGCTCCGTTTTTGGTGCAAAAAGCGCTGAAAACGGCAAACTCCGAAAAGTGCGTTTTGTCGTGTCCGGCGTCAATTGCGCTGCCTGCCTCCAAATTCGCTCGTTTTCCTCCGAAACCGGCTCCAGGCGTTTGCCGTGCTCCGAAATCCGTTTTGCCCCGAAAAGCCTGCGAATTCCAGCCCGCTGAGCTCGTCACCGCTTGTCACCGCTTTGTCACCGCTCGCTTTTTGGGTGCAAAAGTGCGCAAAAGCGGCCCCAGTTCTCTCTGCAGGGTTTTTCGCGGCCCGGCACGCTGAGGACCAGGCT